GCAGGCTGAGGCAGAAGAATTGCTTGTGTCCAGGAGTTTGAGACTAGCCTAGGCAACATAGTGAGATCTCATTGCTACCTGAAAAACCAAGCAAATAATTAGCTGGGCATGGTGATGTGCATCTGTAGTTCCAGCTACACAGAAGGCTGAGGTGGAAGTATCACCTGAGCCCAGGAAATTGAGACTATGGTAGGCTGAGATGGTGCCATTGCACTCCAGACTGGGTAACAGAGTGAGACTACAACTCAAAAAAAGAAAGAAGAAAAATTGGCCTTACAACCTAAGGTAAGTCAACCATTGATGGGATTTTGGAAACACTGTAGTGGAAGTGGTTTTCTGATTGGAAAAAAATTACTCTTAATGCATGGTAGACAATGGAATGCTTGGAGAAAGGACTAAAGTTGATGCTGATGTTGCAATCAGTCCTTCCATAATGGACAGAACTTCATGGAAGGTATACTCAAAGTTAACCTTTCAATTAATATACATCCTTAATATCTTACACTCCTGGACAAGAAACAAGAGGTTTCTTTAAACTCTTGTACAGATAAAATATATTGTACAAATACTCATACCCCACTTAAAAAAAAACCCTTTTAAAGGTCCGTTTTGAGTTTGTTAGCTTATGTCTACAGTGTTCATTTTTCCTTTTTTGTTGGGAATAAAGATACATATCTAGTACTACCTGAGTATTATAGGAACCCTGTTCTACTCCCTTGATAATCACTACAAAATTCATAAAGTGAATCTCTGTTTACTTTCTTAAACGCTCCGTGGTTACTCTCTTAAGAAAGAATGTAATTCTGACATGTTAAGAAACTGGTATTAAGTCGTCTCTGCTCCTGGTTTTATAATTGCTTTCCTGATCATGTTCTGCAATGCATTTGTTGTAAACAATTTAGTTTGGCTCTAAATTGACAGTCCGTGGCCTTTTCTCCATATTGATGAAGGTGAAATGGGAGATTTTGAAAAGAATTTTCAAAATTTAAGAAAAGAATGACTAGATAGAAGAAGTAGAGAGAGAAAGAACATAGTCAAGAAATATTTACAAGGCAAAAATCTAAAGTATTAGATGTTGATTGGTTCTGGGACTTATAAAGACAAAGGGGTTTCAAAGATGAAACCCAGATTTCTGGATTTCAAACTAAAGAAATGGTGATGCTAGTCCTTTAGTCAGTGAAGAACACTGTAAAGAACAGAAGCCAGCCATACTAAGACTTGAGTTAAGAATAGTCTAAAAAAGTAGGGAAGCCCATCACAATGGAATATTACACAGCCATAAAGAAGAACAAAATCATGAACTTCGCAGCAACCTTGATGGACTTAGAGTCTATAATACTGAATGTTCTTTCACAGAAACAAAGAACTGAGTATCACATGTTCTTACTCATAAGTGGACCTTGAACAACAGTCATAATATTATAAGAAAAGGATTGACAGTAGTGGGAAACAGTGGGGGCATGGGGTGGTGGGGCAGTGGGATTGGCAGTAGTGGGAAACTGCCTGGGGAAGGGGGGATACACCTCATCAACAAAGGTACCTGCACAATGAATATTTGTATACCTAACCCTGAATTGTACCCCATAATTCTAAAATAAAAAATTTAAAGGTGAAAAAAATGCAAATAAAAAAGTAGGGAAAACATTAAAAAAAAAAAAAGTCCCCAATAGCATGGCCTATACAAGGAAAGAAAGGCTAGAATAGCCAAGGGAAAAGAGCAGAGCTGAGGTTAAAGAACTAGGTCCATAGCTGATAATGTATGGTTTTCTAGGCTACTATGAGTAGTCAGAATTATGTTGAATGCAATAACAATTTAGGAGCTTTAAGCATGAAAGTTATTATTTGATTTAAATTTTATGGATAGAATTGTATGGTATTTAATAAAACAGTTACATGGTTGTTTTGGAATGCAGGCAAAAGATAATGGTGACCTAGATGAAGGGGTGACAGAGGATACAATGAAGTACAAGGAATGAAGATATATTTTAGTCAATTAATAAGTCGTGCTAAGGTTTATGTGAAGGGATAAAGGAAGTTGTTGAGAGAAATCAAAGAAATACCACAGGTTTGTAAGTAAGCAGTAAGAAGTGGGGGTAGTAAAAGGTTTGTGCAAGAAAAAAAATTAGGGATTCCATTTTGGACATGTTAAGTATGAGGTGTCTGTGGAACACAGAAATGGCAACAACAAGCATCTGGTGGAAATGTGAGACAGAAGTCTGAGTTCCATGTTGGAGACATAGGTCTCCAGGCAAAAGGATTGGTTTTAAATCCAGGGCAAGAACTGCAATCACCTAAAGAAGAAAATTAGCAAAAAAGTAGAGCCTTAGGTCAAACAGGAGATAAACCAGTTTAAAAAGAAAGAGGGAGAGAGTAATTGGTGAGACAGAAGGGAAGGAAACAAGGACAGTAGAATCAAATCGCCAAAGGAAGAGAGAGTGGCCCACCATCTTGAATATTGCTGTGGTAGTGTCAGCCATATTGATGATGTTGACAAGAGCAGATTCAATGAAGGGATGATGATGAAAAATGGACAGGACAGAGATGAAACAGGACTGAAGTTAAAGATTTGGAGACTGAAAAGACAGACCGAGAGTGGGAAGTCATTTTTCATATTGTTCTTAAACACTGACACAATGATGAGAAAGTAGAAGCTATGCTTTTGGAGAAATGCAACCTATAAGTAAAATTAACTTTGCCGACTTTGTCTTTTCAGAAATAGACTTCCTGATTCCAGGTATCAGAGGTATCTCATAGCAGCAATCAAGCTTGCCTAAAGTAAAGGGAATTCACAAGACCTAGGGACATCGTGCATTGGGCAAGGATTGTAAAAGTCATGAAACTTGTGATTACCAAAGTTATAACCGCTCAGAGGGAGAGCAGGTAGGGATTCGATCTTCCAGTAAATTGGGCACTATCTACAGGGAAGCCAAGGATCCCCCGAAGCTACCCACTGGGAATGCCTAGGAGATAAGGGGAGGTGCACCCTCCATTAGCTCTAAGGAATGTCGTTTGGGATGGTGCAGGAGAATTAGAATCCTTGTCATGCCCTTCTCTAGGGGTTATGATAATACGGACAAACATTAATGAGTCTCTGTGTCTCACTGGATCTCCAAGACATCCACAGGTGGTCGATAAGGAAGTCATGGCAGTCACCTGCAACATCTCCAAGAAAAGGATTTAAGACAGGGCTTTGGGGGGTTTCGTCACCATACTTACCTAGAGTGTAAGCCCACTCCTTGTCTGTGGGGGGTGAACTTTTCTTAAATAAATCTTTTCTTCTCTCACCTCTGTGTGTTGCAATTCTTTGCATTTACTCGGATCTCTGGGTTCCCAGCGTGGCAGCTCCGGCTTGCTGGCTCCGGCGGTTCCGACCCTCTCTGCTGCCCCTCTTTCTCTCCGACCATCTTACCCTCACCCTGTCTGAACCCTAACAGAGACATTGTGATGAAAAGCCTAAGTGTTTGATCAGGAAAGGGAGCAAAGGAATAGGCTATTCCTAGAAGTCGATCTGGGGTGTCATGGATCTTTTACTATTATACTGTAATACATGTAGTCTGAGAGGACTGATGAGTCAGGATGGGAAAGTTGCTAAATCTAGGAAAAAGTCCCCAAAAAGGTAAAAGTCGAATGGTATCATTAACACAAGTGGAGAAAATTAACTTTCTTCATCAAGTCAGGAGGAAAAAAGAAAATGCTAAGAGAAAATGCTAAGAGAAAATGCAGGACAGCTCTCCAGGTGGCCTTGGAACCAACCTATTTTCTCCCCCTTTCTCACTTTTAGTTCTCAGAAATAACTGTAGAATGTGCTGGAAATAAAACATCCTGAGACCAGGAGAATCTGGCAAAAACAGCCCCAGGCTCTGTTGCCCTTCCCCCTAAAACAAGGTGTCCTCTGAGGTTTTAGCCTAGTGTATCATGTGACTTTCCGGGTTCCAAAACCCAAGGCAGGCTGCTTTCCAGGATCCCTCAGCTGCGGTGCAAATGGGGCACATGCAAATGAGACTCTACCCACCCTGGGCAACTGTTCTGAGCTTTGGGAGCTGGTGCATTGTGAACCCTAGGCTTCTGTTGTCCCTTGATTCCTATCTAAGCAATAAGCCTGTTTCAAGTAGCTCCTTGCCTGTGTGTGTGTTCTGCCTCCCCTGTCTTATGCGAGTAGTAGAAACCAAGATGCAGTGAGGTGCAATGGTAACCAGCACGCAATGAATCTACTTTGCAGTAGAGATAGATAAATTAACATGAAAAAAGAAGAGAGTTTCTGGGATATGGCTTCTCTGTTCTCATTTAAGCATGAGAAAAACAACTGAGAGGTCTAAGAAGACTAGGTGAGAGCCCTAACAAATTCCATACGTAAAGTTAAGAAGAAGGCAAATGAATAGCAATAGGATTAGAAAGAAAACCCAGACCACATGAGGTAATGAAAGCCCTAAACACACATCCATATCGGTGGTTAGGAGAAGGAACAAGAAGTCATACAACAGCAAGTCTAAGTCATTAGAAAGAAAATAAAAAACAGGAAAAAATAGAAAGAAGAAGATTCCAGTGAACTCAATATAATTAAAAACTGTATCATTACGAATTGCTTAATTTAGGTTTCTTCTATTGTTTAACTTCATTAACAGAAAAGTACTTTCATATTGTAAAAACCATACAAATGGGCTAACTTTAACCAGCTATCCCTAACTAACTGATAGAAATACTCTATCAGTTGGAAGAATTATATACCAAGAGAAATTTGACAAATATAGCTGGGTTAATAGTGTTAATGACAACAAACATATTTTTAAGATGCCTTTCTGAGTTCTTAGAAATTCCTTTGACAAATAGGTTGAAGTGAGTCTTCTAAAATACAACAACATGTTGATTGTGTTTATCTTATAATTGTATAATTATATGTAATTTTTATGCCTTTCTGAGTTTTTCAAATTGGTTACTTACAGCTTTCACTAAAAAATTTAATGACATAAGAATCAATGTATATAAAGATAAAAACACACGTATTTATTGCTTTGGGTATATGCATTTAATTTGAATTTTATAATTTAGACTCAACATGAATTGCAATAAATGGATCTTCAGCAGAGTTACTGATAGAAAAATGAGCACTGCCATCATTAGAAACATAGATTTTAATTCCTGTGCAATTGCCATCAATTTTATCTCCAGAAATGATATCACAATATGTGCCAGCAGGAAGACCAGTTTGCAAAGTTAAAGAAAATGACCTGTAAAATAAAATTTAAGATTAAATTTCAACACAAGGGAAAGCAAGAATACAGATTATCTCTAAAACAAATAAATTGGTGAACTTTGTGCTGTTACTCTAAACAGCCAAGGTCTCAGTAAGAAGAAAATCCAAACACATAGGCCTCTTCAATAGATGTGACAAGTATTCTCAGGGCCAAAAGTAGACTTACAGAAGACCTAGCAATTCCCTAGTCAGTAGTGACTATTACCACAAAATGGAAATTGAAGAACGTAAGTGAAATTTACAGAAATTGTTCTACCTGTGGTAAACATAAATATTTCAAACTTGCCTTCATCTGAACTTAAGAATATATGATTACTCTGAATTTAAATGAGATTACTTTTTCAAGATTTATTTTTTCTCCCAAGAGACTAAAAAAGAATTTTGGCCAGAGGTAAAAATAATCTAGCATTCTTGTGAAGTACATAGTTTGGAATATAATGTCTCATGAATTTATTTTGATTTTCTCTTACAAAAGAATGAAATTAAAAAACTAGCCATGAGCTCTTTTGACAAGAAACAGATATACTTGACTTAATAATTTAATTTCAACCAGTAAAATATAACTTAGGCTAGAATGAGCTAAGCATGAATGGGAGTTGTCCTTGGACTAAGACATTTCAGCTGCTTGCAAAGAAGTTTTCTGAGCTGTATATGAGGGAGTCATTATACCAGTGGCAAAGGATACATAAGTTATAACAAAAGAAAGGTCAATAATGAGCTGTTTCAGAACCCAGACTCAAAAACCTCCTGAAGTAAATCATTCACCATTAGACATATATTCTTTCTGTAGAGGCTTTAAAAATATTATTTGTCCCAGAGACAGAGAAGTGAAGAAGCCACACCAAAGAACCAGATAGAGAAGTAGTTGAGTAAAGGAACAAGAAAAAAGATATTTAAGTATCAAGGCAGCATTTTTTCCATGATTTAAAAAAAAAAAAAAGGATAAGACATGTTCTTTTAATGGTTTCCCAATCCTAATATTAACTGGTTTGTATATTTTGTGTCATGTGTGTGACCATATATACATGCATTATTTATATAAAATTGCAAGAGTACACAAAAAGAACTCTGTTCACACCAAAAATCCCTTATAAAAATAGGAGAACGGAAGAATAATAGCCATCATCCTTCTTCTTCTGCCCTTTTCTGATCTCTACATCATCTTGCTCCACTGACTAGAGGATTTTTCAGATATGAAAAAGTAAATGAGCAGAAGAGAAAAGAATAAACCAGGTCATAGTAGTATTAGACACTGTCTCAAATTGATATTTACTTACCAGTCATCATTGTTGAAGACTATGAATCCCCTGTCTCCTCTCCCAAAAGCCACTTGGTTGCTACCATTATCCCACCAGTTTGTAAAAGGCTGACCATCAACTACATTACGGAAAATAGCCATGTTCCTAAAAACACAGTATTACATAAAATGTTGATATTCTTAAACTTTGATAGTTGGTAGCAAAATGTTAAGGAGAGTTTGCTATTAGAGGTATCTCTAAATAAATATCCCACCTTATTTGACGCCATCGATGTTCACAGACCCAGTCATTGCCACAAGTAGTGTCTGGATTAATAGTAACTTCTTTAATCACACCATTGCTATTTGGTGGCCCAATCCAATCATTAATATCCTTATTAGGGAAAAACATAGTCTCAGATTTTAACTTGCATGTATTTGCCTCTTTTTTCTCCATTACACTAAACCGGATCTATCCTGCTACTTGTGTCTCTGCAGTGACTTTAGAAGCCAACACCTTCATTATGCCATAGAATTTTTTTTAAAAGGGCACTTAACAATTAAAGAGGGTGCCAAAAATGTATACAAATTTCAAGAAAGAAAAAGACTGTATTAAAAATTAATACTCAATATATACTGATAACAAAAATTGAATACAAGTCATGTTTGACTTTTGCAATTACAAGAAGTGTTCAAAGTATTACCATCAGCATCCAGATACTTCTGATGATGCAAATTAAAAGCAATACATAAATAACATCTCTCCAACTGTATATATGGATTTTTTGACATTCCCAGTATTTATATTGCTCTATGAGTTAGTTGATGTTTTAACTTCTTTACAGGTAGTTAGCAGTTATAATCCTCATATCAACTCAATGAGGTAGGTAGTTATTAGAAGTATATCTTTTACTCCCTGCCTCTTGGTCTTACTTTAGGTATTTTTTCTTTGGGAATAGGGATATATTTCTCATATTTCTGATACAGCTTGCATACTCTTTGACAACAAAAAACATGAACTGTACTTTGCTAATATCGTCTGCATTACTAAGATCAGAGTCTTACATAGGTTTCTACTTAATAAATATTAGATGAACAAACATTGACTATAATAGCCTCATGTTAAATTAGAACATAATTGCCTTCCTTTTCTTGGGAAAAAGCTATCTTAAAACACTTTAAAACTTACTTTTCCATTTTCAAAATATCTTGGCCAACGATAGCTTGACATGATTCGTGTAACTCCATAAGGATGAGCAAGCATAAATCCAACTGCCATTTTGTACAGTCTGAAAGTTACAAAATTGCATTGCCGTAGGAGAATAGAATATGTTTTACCATTATTAAAAAGTACACTAAAAAGTTCTGAACTCAGTTTCCTACCTAGCATCCCAGAATGTAAGAATAGATGCTCCTCCAGCTCCATGTCCTCGTTGATTGTCATGGTTATCCACAAAGACAAGTGCTCTGTCAGAAGGCATAAAACCCCAGCCTTCTCCCCAGCTCCTATTGAAAAACAGTAACATGTTTGTTTATGTGTTCTTTTACAATAGCTTTAGAATAACCTATGTGTGCATTTCTTTCTGTATAGCATCTTAAGATTAAGTTTTCTAATTAAATGGTTATTCTATAGGAGATATATACATACATACATATGTATATATATATGTATATATATATATATATATAAATCTACAAATACATTCCATGTTTGTATAGATATACAGATTATTTTATTCCATTCATGTTACATCTATAAGACTTTCATTATTAAAAAAAGTCCTTTGAGAGTTTTCAACATGTAATTTAGATGGACTTCAAAAGGGTAAGCATCCATATCACATTATACAGAATGGCAAACTAAATTAAAATAAGACTTTAACACTGTACTGTTATAAACACTTAACATTTCAAATTAATTAAGTGATAATATAAATTCTATAGTATGAGCATGTTGTAGGTACTTTAAAAATGGTAGGATTTTTAAATAAAAGCTTGGATTTAACAGATCATATGCAAACATTAGTCAAATCTAGTATACTCATATAATACATAAATTAAAATTCCTAGGTAATGTTTTGGGTTTCCAGTCATACTTTCTTGTGACTGACATTCTAAACACAAAAGATAATTAACTGAAGTTTGGGCACTATGACACATCATTAATGACCAACTCCTTGACAACTATCTCAAGACTCTAAAAAGATAACTCATATGAGGGTAATATGACTAGTAGATCTATGAAATAACTCAAGGGCAAATCATATTTTATTTACTTTAAATAAGCCATCTTCTCTCCATTCCACTTGCGAATTACCGTGCCTAATTTTGCACCGTACTTGAATTCTGTCACACGGCCATTTCCAAAGTATTCGCTGCCTTGAATTGGCTCTCCACCCAGATCAATTACCTTTTAGAAATATATTTTTTTAAATATCATTTTATATAAGAACTTTAAAGTATTTCAACCAACAAATTAATACTATATAAAAATAGCTTTAAACTCTTTATGTTATTTGAAATACTACAAATAGTATTCCTTCCATGAAGATTTGCACTTTTTTTGATAAAGTATTTGCTGCAATATAGAAAGAAGAATAATGACAAGGTGATCTATTGTCCTGTGAGAATGATGACCTAATTCTTAGTCTTACACATAAATGATTACAATAGCTGACACCAACATAGTGTTTACTATTTGACCGACAACATTTCTCAATGCTTGGTAAATATTACCTTATTTATTTCTCCAAAGAAAACAAAGACAACCACAATCATTAGGTCTCTACTTCACACGAAATAACTGTTTCACAGAGATGTTAACCAATTTGCCTAGAAACTAACATAGCTAATAGTGGTATAGCCAAGATTCAATCTAGACTGGCTTGAGACAATAACAACTCTGTGATCCTCTGTCTTCCACAAATGGTGTCTGAGATTGTGATCAATGGCACAGTGAAGTTTGTAAACTAAATAAATTCTCTGTACTTTCATGGAATCTATTGTGATAAAGAATTAGACGTATTTTATTTGAAGAAAGGAATTTAAAGAACACTGATCGATATAAATGACCCAACCATTAACCTACAGAAATCACACATTTGATTAAATCTGCCATTAATTTTCTAATGAATAAATGATATTATTTTACATGCATACATATGTATTGATATACCTCCTGGTAGATGAAAGGTCTACTTCCTTCAGGGAACCAACTTGTGTTAAGATTATGTAGTTTATCCAGAACTGCCTTCATGTCTCCAGGCCACATGTGCTTGGAAGCATCAATTCTGAACCCGGCTACACCAATGTCAATGAGATGGTTCATATATTCGGCAACCTTGGAGCGCACATAGTCTTTCTCCAGTGCAAGATCAAGAAGACCAACCAGACGACAATCTCTGACCTGTTGAGGTAAAAATTTTGTGGTTGATTCATAAAACATAATCTTTCACCTGAGAATCTATTTGATTATTCATTCCTTCACTTATTCATCAATAGAAACTTATATAGTGCCATTGTCACTGGGCACTGAGAATATTGACATTCTGCTATCAACATATCTATGAAATATTTTCTAGTGCAAAATGGACAATGTGGGAGATAAAGTAGATCAGTGTTTCACTTGGTTGGGGGAAAGTATTTAAATGTTGATTTGAGTTTCCTATTTTTAAGTAGTCAAACCTTAAATCTGTTTTTCTAGGGGATCTAAACTAGTATTTAGTTATGAATACTATGAAAATGAAGTTCAACGAGCTACATGTCTATAGTTAAAGGCCTAGGTAACTTTTTATTCAGAGCACAATTTTTAAAAAATTACCTGAGCAGCATCATTATAGTTCTCAATATCTCCACTTCCAGTTCTACATTTACCATCATTAAAATCCCAACCAGAATATGGGACTGCTGGAAAGTCCCTACTTCCAGGATTGAAGTAGCTTCCGCAAGTACTGCTTGTTCCCGCACTCACACCGTTGCCACACATATGGTTAATGACAGCATCCACATAAATACGGACCTGTAAAGCAAAGTTTCCACTTCAGTCTAATTTACAGAGATGCAGAGATCTACAGCAGGGCTGATCAAAGTTTACAGTCTGTTAATAAAACTTCAAATATTTCTGTGTGTTTTGTGTGAAAGGAAACCAACGCAAGCTGAAGACTTGCATCCATTCTAGCCACCTGGTCAAATATTTATAAGAATGATAAATCGAGAGAATCAGAAACCACCATAAATATGAAGACATGCAAAAAGCCATTTGGGGAAGGTTAGAAATCAGTTGAGACAGGAGAGATTATTGCTTCTTGAAATTTCATTGAGTCACCAAGAGAAAGAAACACGTAGCCTTTATTTTCTATTTAGAATCTGAAGAGGGAAAAGTAGATATTAGTCTCTCATTATGCTCCTCATTAGAGAGAAGATAGCTATTCACTATAAAATAATTTAAAAAAACAAAAACCTATGAGAAAGAAGACTCAGAAATTATGGATGGAGACATAAGTCACCCAAAAATTGTAGCAAATATTGTAACTGGAATTTTCAGTTCCCAACCAGGAAAGTGTTCCAGGAAATGTGCATAGTTATAAGTGTTGAAATTTGATTTTGCCTTGTAAGTAAATTCTGCTTTAAACTTTAACTTATCTTTTTTTATTAGGTAAAAGGCACATACAAAGATTCACAAAAGTTGAACTTAAGCCAACAGCTAATTTCAAATTATAGTTAAGTATAAAGTAAAAAATAAAAATATGGATAACTATCTAATGAAAAGAAACAACCGATGAACTATTTTCCTGTATATTTTTAAAGGAAACTTGAATTCACTTACACCAACATTGTTACATCTAGTCACCATGTTTCTGAATTCATCTTCATTTCCAGATCTTGTGCATAATTTATAGCTAATTGGTTGGTATCTTTCCCACCAAGGTCGTGAAGGGTTGTGAATTATAACATTTTCATTGGGTGGGGAGATCTACAAATAAAACAATCATTAGGTATCAAATTATGTCTTACTTTATATCATAGGATGTTCTAGAAACTAATCAATAATATAAATTATTTTTGACTCTTTGTGTCTGCAGCTACATTTCTTTTCAACCACTTGAAAATATTAACAGCACATTGGAGGTTTCCTGTTGAAGATAGATTGCATCAGAAACAAAATGTAAAGTTTCCAGCAATAGTGACTTGTTTCTTCAGCAGAAAAACTGATTTTACATAGAGTACTAATGTTCCAGCTTCAAAAACACTAATCAGAATACGATTGCATACAAGCACATGGAACTCAACAATTTATTATGAGCAATACCCACCTGAACCCCTCCAAATCCATTGGGAGCTAAGTATCGCTCACATTCAAGAGCAATATCAACCCAGCGCCACTCAAACAGATGGACAATAGATGTCCGTCCTGGTTGAGTATGTGGGGAATACTGAGCCCAGCAAAAGCCAATGGCTGAAAGCAACAGAAAGATCTTCATTTTTCTTTGAAGTTGTCGGTGTTCTTTTCAGAGACTATTTATATTCCTGTAAGAAGCACATTTTGCAAAGTAAATGTTAGCTTGAATAAATACTTAGAGGACAAACAGTTCCTTCATAATCTGAAAAGGATTATCAATAATAACATTGATGCCACAGGTGAAAACACAATTAAAACTCTCATGAAAATAGTCTGAATGACGTTTAGAACTCAGTGTTTCCTCTTACTGAGAGAATGAATATTAACCCTCTCAAACTGCTGGCATTATATACATATATTCATATGATTTTAATTAGGATTACTTTTTTATTTCTGATGCCCCTCACTAATAGAGGGAAAGTAATTAGAGCCAACTTCATTCAACAACTCAAAATATTGCTTTAACTATGTGCAAATGTAATGTTTCTATTTCAAAAAGAAACATTATGTAATGTTTCAATTTCAAAACCTCAACTCCATTTTCTACTCACCCACATTTTTGGTTATTTAATTTTCTGCATTAAGAGTTTATAAAATTTATTTAAAATTTAAATGCTCGTGAATTGTAGAAACAGACTCCCCTCCCCTCACCCCACCCCACCAAGTCATGTACTTAATGCAGTGGTCACAGTAGTAGGGTTGGTGGTGGTGGTTTTCTTCACATTGCCAAATAACCCTGTACTTCATTAAACATTAAATAGATGAATTTACATCACTTTTCCTTCTTAACATAAGTAAAATCCTACAAAAGGAATAATAGCAGGTAGGGAAAACTTCATCTATCCATACAATAAGGATAAAGTGAATGCCTACTTTTTGCCAACAATGTTCAGGATGTGTGATAAAAAAGACAGATTTCTGTTCTCAGAGAGCTTACATTCCAGTGGAAAGGAAAGAAAATACACTAGCAAATCATAAAAATAATAGTACTAAAAGTGATACTAACATAAGTTCAAATAGCAATAAGAACTAGTATAATATAAGCTAATAAAATAGAGATTGACTTCACCATCAGTGTGTCCAGATAGTCAGGAAAGACACCCCTGAGGAAGTGACTTTATGCTGTACTTGATGAATTAGAAGTATCCAGTACTTGAAGATCAGAGGAAGAACAACCTAAATAGAGGAAGAGCAAAAGTTCCAGGAAAGAAAACCCTAAGAATATACAAGAAACACGAACAATAATAACAACAGCCAGGCTCTGTGGCTCAGCCTGTCATCCCGCGCCTTTGGGAGGCTGAAGTGAGTGGGATGCCTGAGTCCCCGGATTCGAGACCCGCCTGGGCAGGCGAGACCTCATCTCTACCATAAATCAAAAAATCAGCCGGGCGTGGTAGCGCACGCCTGTAATTCCGGCTACTCGG